AAAAGAGAGCTTGGGAGAGAATAGAGTTCTAAGGGGGTTTCTTTGTAAACCAAAGTTGTAACTTATTCTTTCATTAGTGAATTTCTCAAGAGGATCACCAAGAGGATGTAGGCAATTGCTGAACCTCTAAAATACTTGTGTCACTTTGTGCTTGGTTGGTTTCTCTAGTGTGTGTGTGTGTGATTCATCCATCCTTGTGTGTGTCACAAAGTCCATCAACAACAAGATCATTAGGGGAGTGAGTGAAAGTGTTTGTCCATTTTCACAACATTTTGCAGTAATAGGAGCCACGGCGCTCGATGCTTCCTTTCTTGCAACAATGGGAGTTCATAGTGCAAGTACCAACAACTCTCTAAGAATTCAACTGGAGTGGTTATGCAACACATCTTCAGGTAATTAGTTCCCTTTTTTTTTTTTTTTTCTCATTATATTTTTGTGTTTCCTTTACTTGAAATTATTTCCTGTCCACTTGCTTATGTGGTTGTCCATAATAGTATTAAAGAGGAAGTGAGACATTGGTTGACTGATCAGTTGTTTAATTTTTATTTCTGATTAATTACAGACTGCAACAAAGTCCTTTCAACTTCTCTAATTCTAATGGGATCGATTGGGGGCAACGATTACAACGATGCTTTGCTTGCAGGAAAAAGTATAGAACTGGTTCGAGCATATTTACCATTAGTGATAGAAACAATTGCTTCAACCATCAATGTAAGACTTTGGAATCATAGTTGCTACTAAGGTAGTCTTTCTTTTTTCCCTTCAATATTGGCTATGAATTACAGGCATGGACGGACCCAGGATTTTAAAATAGAGTGGGCTAAATTTAGGTACTAAGTAGATAGAAAACTTAACAATACCATGTGATTTCATTGATAACAAATATATATATATATACACACAGCAAGAACAATAAAATCAATTACAAATCCTATTTGATAATTCATAACTCATAAACTGAAATTGATGCCCCAATTGCAAATCCTAATTGATACTTCATAAACTCCAAAAAAAATCCTCAAATTAAAGCATCAAGAAATTGAGACAAGCTTACATGACGAATATAGAAACTTGGTTCACTTGAATTAAGTCTTGAAGGTGAGTGCAGAAGCAACAAGAGCGTTCTTTTTTTTTTTTTTCTCTACATGCGAGGGTAGGATGGTGCTTCTTCTTCTTTTTTTTCTTTTTTTTTTTTCCTACATGTTGTGTGTGAGTTTTTTTCTTTTTTCTTTTTTTTTCTTTTGTTGTGCTATGTGTGAGCCTGGGCTATAGCCCAGGCAACCCCCCACCCCCTTCTTTATCTTTTTATTGACTAAGAGAACTAGATAAGGTTAGGTTAGGGGTGAGTGTAGGATTTTATTTTATTTTGGCTGGAAAAAAGAAGCCACTTGGGCTATAGCCAAGGTTTGCCAAACTATAGGTCCGTCCCTGATTACAAGCTTGCATAATTTTCTGTGGCTGCATGGTTTGCAGGAGTTAATCGAGCTCGGGGCAGCAACACTTTTGGTACCAGGCGACTTTCCAATTGGTTGCCTTCCTGGTTGATGCAGGAGTATAGGGGTGGATCAAGATAGATATTTACCATTTAATTAGTTATTTCATGATATATTGTTATTTTCTTATTTAGGTAGTTTTAGGATATTTGTATTATTTATGTGTGATTTTATAATTAATTAGTTTACTTTTGGACCAAGTAGCCTTGGTGTCCAAGTCTTGTAAAGCCTATAAATAAGGCTAATGTAATAGTTGTAGGGGGAGTTTATGTTTATGATTAATGAAACAGTTCATTTGTGGCATGAATTTGCTACGGTATATGTGAGTTTGCACTAACCCTAGATTTCGGTGCTCGTGTATGTGGTTGGTGACCTATGTCCAGACCCCGATCCCCATCACTGGTTATCTAACAAAATATGAGAGTTCAGATAAGAACCAATATGACCCTAAAACTGGCTGCCTAAACGAGTTTTCTCAGTAACACAATGAGCAGCTTCAGATAGAACTAAGTCGGATTTGAAGGCTTCATCCTCAGGTCACTATCATTTATATTACAATGGGCTGCTGCAATTATATCAATCTCCTGACCAGTTTGGTACTTCTTCAACCCCCTTAATATTTCTAACTACCTATTTCACAATTTAGGATAAATAAAAAGAGTAATAATAATAATAATTGCATGATTTACTGGGGAGACTAGCAAAACATGCTGTGGAGGATGGCCGTACAACTTCAACATATCCGCACAATGTGGGGATGCAGGGTCAAGTGTCTGTGAGAAGCCTGCACAGTTTATCAACTGGGATGGCATGCACTCTACTGAAGCAGCATAAAGGTGGATAGCCTAGGCTTTATTACAAGGAAATTACACCGTTCCACGCATTGCCACCTTGTGTGTTTCACCAGTGTGACTGGGACACCAATAGTTAGCTACCCAATAAATTTGTTTTCACTCGACCTTGATCTCCTTGTGGAGGCATTGGAATATCTACCGTTAGCAGTGATTTGCTTTGAGTAGGGGTTAGATCTTGTTTTTAGGGTTTCTGTTATAGATGTCCAATAAGTTCACAATATTTTCCAAGATACTCTCCACCTAACTTCGTAGATCTTGCCTTTTTGACAGCTTCTGTGCATCAAGGTCAACAACTTCCCTTTAATAATAACATTCACATGTAACTTGTAGTAGATCAAACTTTGGAAGGATATAAGCATATCCAAGTAGATAAGTCAGCTCTAAATGTAAATTATATAAACCATCATTGCCAGCTGCATGCGTGTGTTGCTGTTTGTTCACGGACTGTAGAGTTTCTCGTGGGGGAGGTAGACATGAAAGATGGTTTGATTGGTGGGTATATAGAGCATTAAACATTTGAAAGATTTTGTACCCCTTATTGTTGAAGCAATTACTAATGCCACCAATATATGCCAATCATATATCAAGCATACATATTCACGAGTCAATTTTACATCAGAGGTCCTATGTTCGAATCCCCTCCCTTGATATCATTTGTATTAAGTAAAGTAACTTTTATGGAATCACATTTGTTATTGCATGGGGTCAAGTTTTATTTTTACAATTCCCAAAAAAAAGAAATGTGAATTAAGATTTTGCTGGGGTCAACTTTTATAGAAATACTGAAATAGCCCAAAAGAAGGTTGTTGGGCTTCCGCCGGTCAAAAGGTTGTTGGAAAAAGACGGAACACAATTATTGCCAATTTGCCATTGCTTGGTTTCACGAACGACAGGATTTTAGATGTCGTAAAGTCTAGCTCAAGAAAATAATAAGGACATTGGTTTGGTTTCACGAACTCAATCTCAAATTTGCCATTGCTTGGTTTCACTAACGACAGGATTTTAGATGTCGTAAAGTCTAGCTCAAGAAAATAATAAGGACATTGGTTTGGTTTCACGAACTCAATCTCAATCAATCCACCTATTATCTTACATTACAAGTCAACCACCATATCTGAGAATTTTTTTTTATTAGCTTCTGCTTCTCTCATGTAACTTTCAGTCTTTGAATTTATCTGTTGCAGCTCAGTTTCTGGAACCAATTGTTACAAGTCTACAAAGTCGATCTCATTTACTGTGGGACAAACACTAGATTAGGCATATTTGAAGTGTTAAAGATGCAGAGTTTCCAAATGCTGAAGCGGAACACACGATAAAACTTTTCGATTCATGTCATTGCAGGATTATCAGGGGAACTCCAAAAACATGCTGTGGAGGAGGAGGGCCATACAATTACAACTTATCGGCACAATGTGGTTCTGCAGAGGCAAGTGCCTGTGACGGCCCTTCACAATTTATCAATTGGGATGGTATACACGTCACTGAGGCAGCATATAGGTGGATGGCCAATGCTTTGTTAAAAGGAAAATACACCATTCCCCCAATAGGCACCTTGTGTGTTTCAGAAGTGTTACCTCTGTTATTCCTTACCAACCGGTCTACACAAATGACGAAGATTTCCAGTGTTTAGGTAGATTCTGCTTATGGCGCACATTTAGTGGTGTCCACTGTACCTAACACCTAACATTTTAAAAAGTAGTAGTTCGACTTTAGTTCAAGTATTTTGGATACACACCATACACACCATATAACAGAGAGAGACAGAGAGAGAGAGAAAGAGAGAGATGAGTTCAATGGGGTGGTCTTTTCAGGCATATTTGATGAACCTCATCCTCATCCTCCTCCTCATACCAGTTATCATCATCCCTCTTGTGCTTGGATGCTACAATTCAATCATCAGCTTTGGAGATTCACTTGCTGATACAGGCAACTTATACAACAGCTACCCTAACAAATCTCTCAACTTCTTCCACCCGCCATATGGAGAGACCTACTTTCATCATCCCATGGGACGATGCTCGGATGGTCGTTTAGTCGTAGACTTCATCGGTACTCATTCACTTATATGTATATATCTGACTTTTTTCATCAGCTTCTCATGTAACTTTCACTTCATTTTTTGCAGCTGAGTTTCTGGGACTTCCACTCGTACCACCTTATCTTGAATGCCAGAACAGTAATCAAAGTGTCCAGAACTTTGAAGCGGGTGTGAATTTTGCAGTAGCAGGAGCCACGGCGTTAGATGCTGCCTTTCTTGAAGAAATGGGGGATTCTACTGCATTTACCAACAACTCTCTAAGCATTCAACTGGAGTGGTTCAAACAAATGCTGCCATCTCTATGCAACACATCTTCAGGTAATTAGTTCCCAATTTTGTTTTCTCATTATATTTTTGTGTTTCCTTTACTTGAAATTATTTCCTGTCCACTTGCTTATGTGGTTGGCTACACTTTCAATGCCTCCACCAAACCTAGATGATAACATTAATAATTGGACTTGGTGGACCTGAATTGACTTGGTTGATTGATCTGTTATTTGATTTTTATTTCTGATTAATTACAGACTGCAACAAACTCCTTTCAACTTCTCTAATTCTAATGGGAGAGATTGGAGGCAACGATTACAACAATCCATTGCTTGCAGGAAAAAGTATAGAAAAGGTTCAAGCGTATGTACCATTAGTGATAGAAAAAATTGCTTCAACCATCAATGTAAGAGTTGGAACCATAGTTGCTACTAGGGTAGTCTGCTTTCTTCAATGTTGGCTATGTTACAGGCTTGCCTAATTTCCTATGGCTGCATGGTCTGCAGGAGTTAATCGAGCGCGGGGCGGCAACACTTTTGGTACCAGGCAACCTTCCAATTGGTTGCGTTCCTGCTTATCTAACAATATATGAGAGTTCAGATAAGAACCAATATGACCCTTCAACTGGTTGCCTAAACTGGTTAAACAAGTTTTCTAGGTATCACAATGAGCAGCTTCAGATAGAACTAAGTCGGATTCGAAGGCTTCATCCTCAGGTCACTATCATTTATGCAGATTATTACAATGCCATGCTGCAATTATATCAGTCTCCAGACCAATTTGGTACTTCTCTATCTACCTATTTCACAATTTATGATAAATAAATCAAAAGAGTAATACTGATAATAATGAAGATTAATGTGATTGCAGGATTTACTGGGGAGACTAGCAAAGCATGCTGTGGAGGAGGAGGGCCATACAACTACAACACATCCGCACTATGTGGGGATGCAGGGGCAAGTGTTTGTGAGAACCCTGCACAGTTTATCAGCTGGGATGGCCTGCACTCCACTGAAGCAGCATACAGGTGGATAACCAAGGCTATATTACAAGGAAATTACACCGTTCCACGCATTTCCACTTTGTGTGATTCACCAGTGTGACTGAGACAGACACCAATAGCTAACTACTCAAAAAGTTCTATTTAGAGCATCCACAATCATGCTCCTTATTTTTTAGTTAAAATTTAGCTAAAAACACTAAAAATTTATTCTAGGAGCTCCTTATAAAATTTCAACTCTAACAATCCTCTCAAGTTTAGGGAATCATAAATGGTTTATTTCTCTTTTTAGTTTAGCATAAATGCTCATTCTTCATATAAAATAATAATAATAAATAGTTAACATTAAATAAATACTTAAAATAGCATTAAAGTAAAGCAGTATTTAATTATAGGGAGCCATTAGGAGTCCTTTCTCTCTCCTGATATTTAGGAGCTCCTAGAGGTCTCCATATTTTAGGAGTTGGATAGGGAGCATGGTTGGAGGTGGGTTTTCTCACTTCATCCCTAAATTTTATCTAAGGAGGTGGTTTAGCGAGTTCATTGTGGATGCTCTTATTTATGGTTTTACCATTTAATATTATAAACAATAAGTCAATGGGGTTTAGTCCAGTGGAAAAGGACTTTGACTTGTATACTAGTGTTCTCAGGTTCGAACCCTCATAACACCTTGACAATGCATGTGATAAAATAAAACTCCCCTCCTCCAATTTCACTTATATCAAAAAACAATAATGTTTCTTTCGCAAACGTTGTTCTCTTGCTCACGATAAAGATTATGAAAAGCACACAACTTTGAACATCCCCAATTGCTTTTAAACCATCTCCAATGGCAAGGGCGGAATTAGGAATTTTTCGACGGGTGGGCTAGCTAAAATTTCTAACTAAAATAAAAGTGTACATTAAATTATATAAACCACTCTAATTCATAGTTTCATTGACTAATGTTCAATAAGCTTTAACATAAAACAAATACATATTAAATGCAACAACAAAAAATACATATTATCAAAATGAATATGTGTTCAACAATATAATTAAAAGCAGGGACGGACCCAGGATTTCAAAATGGCGTGGGCTAAATTTACCTTATGTACCTATTGAAAACTCAATGGGACGAGTAAATTTCATTGATAACAAAAAAATACAAAGGGGGACATAGTGAGCCCTAAAATTTCATTGATACTTCATAAACCCTAAATAATCTACAAAATTTCAAAAGAGAAGAAGATGAAGAATGGAAGATTACCTTAGTTTGCTTTAATTAAGTATGAGGACATGCCTAATTTTCCTTTTTGTCGAAGAGCAGGAGTTAGCCGCTAGCTGATGGTCTACTACTGTGCAAGAGATAGAGGGAATTTTTTTTATTTTTTTTGGGGGGTAAAGGAGAGAGGGAATGTCTCTGCCTAGTGTAGTGATTTTGGAATAAATGGGCACAGTAGCGGGATAAGTTAATAACTGTGGGCTTTAGTTCTTTTTATTTATTTGTTGGTCAGCCTGGTCCTTAGTGGGATTAGTTAATAATATTTTATTTGGGTGTGTTTGTACCATATCTGACCCTCCACTTGTACAACGACATGTGGATCTTATAAACTCGCCCAAGTACCCAAGGCCTCGGACAATCGGCATCGGCCACCGATGGCATTGTCTCAAAGCTGCGAACAGCCATTACGAGCCCAACTCGTCTACAATCGGCATCCCTTACCGATTGTAGAGAATCAACCTCGAAGTATCCGCCCAAAATATCTAAAGACTCGTGTCGACCTCAGAAGGCCCTCCCACGAGTCCCACATCGAAAATGAGTACTAAGAGCATACAAAATGCCCTTTATAAATAGGCCCCTCCACTACAATACAGGGGTAAGACTTTTAAGCTTGACTTCTATACTTTTATATGGTCAACAACAAGAGCTCTTGAAAACAATCTTACTTGAGCATCGGAGGGTCTTAGGCTGGTTCCACACCGGTTCCACAGACCTCACGAGCTTCGCTTATCTTCTATTCAAGATCAGCATCTGAAGACAGGAAGAATCTCCATTTATCACTCAATCGATCTGCTAGATCGTCCACATCTCTTGTAAGTTGCACTCATCTCTATCTGTTTAGATTTAGCGCCAACAGGGTGATTAGCCTAGTCCTAGTAGGATTAGTTAATAATATTTTATTTGGATGACCTAGGCTAGAGTATTAATTTAGTCTTAAAAAAAAAACAAGTTGCCTGGGCTTTAGCCCAGGTTAGCATGCTAGTGGGTACGTCCTTGATTAAAAGTGTACTTATTGAAGTTGTGCCCTACGAACTTTGAGATAATTGAAATCTGTTGGTATTCCATATAAATCGATATTGTCAATAAGTTCTTTTCAAGGTAAACAGTCATAAAATCAGCTAGAAACTCATTTTCCATCTTGAATTGTTAAAATTTCTTGGCAACAACTGAATAAGCTTCACAAATACAAAGTGCAAAAATATAAATATTGATTAGATTTCACATATATATTAATTATAAACACAAGAACAATGGAGACAAATCAATGAAAAAAATCAAAATTGGTGAGTTAGGGCTAAGGACTTACACTTATATTGGAGATGAAATCGATTTTGGTAGCACAAAATACAAACTAGGATACTAGATACTTCCTTCTAATTGAGGTCATATTAGAATACTTTATTATATGGAAACCTAACGCCATCCAATTCCATTTAAATTGTTACCCTTTCTCACTCTCACTCCACTATCTATAAGAATTAAGTAATACAAATTGTAAAAAGGAAACGATGAAATTATATTAAGACTTTATTCATAGAATACTTTATTCTTATATAAAATTCAACTAGACAATGAAAAAAAGCCAACAAGACCACAAAATGGATGAGGGCCCGGCCACAAGTGGGTTGTGTGAGAACGGCATGTGATGAGCTATAGGTTTAATTCCTCTTTGTTTTTCTTTCAAGCTACCTGGGGCTAATGTTAGGTTTAATTCATTATTTTCTTTTTAAGCTATCTGGGCTACAACTCACTGTAGCTTGTAGGTAGTTCCGCCCGTGTCCAATGGGACTGGGCTAAACTCAAAATTTAGGTTTTTAGCCCGAAAGCTTCTCCAACCGTGTACAAGAACGGGCTAAAAAAGCAGTCCAGACAAAAAACCCAGGCGCTATTCCGCCTTGTCTATTGCCTGGATCGAAAATTAGTGGAGCTCACATGCAAAAAGGTGGAGCCCAAAAGCAAGCCTCAAAACAGCCCACGTGCTGGTGCAAATCGAGTGGAGCCCGTTTGTAGGAGAACTCAGACTCTTCCTTTAAATGTTGGCCGCACGTTGTGTTTAATTCATATAGCCGTTGGGATCCAACGGCTACATTTAATATGCTTTTGTAATTTTTTTTAAATGTAAGCTTAATCTAACGGCCAAATTGTCCAAGACTGATAACAAATATATATATATATCCAATTACCCAAATTAAATCCAATAAAATCCAATAGTCAAAATAATATTATTTATAAATCAACATGAGATTCAAGTTTAAAACTCATTCCAAATTCTATAAATACCTACCTATTTATTAAATATTCCACTAAAATCAAATTTTAAGCAAAATTAGAATTTTTTTTAAGTTAAAGCGTTCAGAAAAATAAATTACAAAGCTATAAACAAAAATCAACTTAAGAAAAATTAACCACAACAGAAAAATAGAGTTAAACTATTCTTAAACAATTTAATAAAGCTACGAACTCAAATTTTGAGTCTGCAAGGTTGGAGGAAAAAACATTTTGAGTCCGGGCAATACATGAATAGTTGTATTTTAGAGGGTGAAAATTTGAGTTTAACTCCAATATGGTTGGAGATGGCCTTAGAGCTCCTATGAACTAAATTAGAGCATTTATGTCCCAAATATAAGAGCATCCATGTCCTAAATCAAAGTCTCCCATTTTAGTTCGCTTGCTCACGGTATTAGTTGAAAAACACACAACTTCGGACATTCCTAGTTGCTTTTAAAACGCCTATGAACTAAATTAGAGCATTTATGTCCCAAACATATAAGAGCATCCATGTCCTAAATAAAAGTCTCCAAGCAGTGTAGATTCTCAATGCACAAAATTAGAGCCAACCACCAAATTAATTAGAGTCTCCAAACATTAAATTAGAGCATCCAAGAATCATAGACATCGGTTTGGTTTGATTTCAGATCGAAAACCAATAAAAAATATATATGCTTAGGGGTTTGACCAGGTTTTCGGTGTGTATGCCCAACCCTAGTTGGTGTAATGAATCCTGTTTTCGCACACTAGATTAGGCATATTTGAAGTGTTAAAGTTGCAGAGTTTGGAAATGCTGAAAATACGATAAAACTTTTTGATTCATGTCTCATTGCAGGATTTATCAGGTGAACTCCAAAAGCATGATGTGGAGGAGGAAGGCCATACAATTACAACTCATCAGCACAATGTGGTTCTGCACAGGCTTTGTTAAAAGGAAATTACACCATTCCCCCAATTAGTACCTACTACCTAGTGTGTGACCTCTACCAACCGGTCTACACAAATGGCAAAGATTTCCAGTGAATTTATTTTCCCCATATTATCTACACATATCCTGTGTAGATTCTGCTTATGGCACACTCTACCTAACATTCTGAAAAGAAGTAGTTCGACTTTAGTTCAAGTATTTTGGATGTGTATAAAATTGAACACACACACATACACACCATATCAGAGAGAGAGAGAGAGAGAGATGAGTTCAATGGGGTGCTCTTTTCAGGCATACTTGATGAACCTCATTCTCGTATCAGTTGTCATCATCCCGCATGTGCTTGGTTGCTTCAATTCGGTCATCAGCTTTGGAGATTCACTTACTGATACAGGCAACTTATACAACAGCTCCCCTAACAAATCTCTCCACTTCTTCCAACCGCCATATGGGGAGACCTACTTTCATCATCCCACGGGACGGTGCTCGGATGGTCGTTTAGTCATAGACTTCATTGGTACGTACGCATATATCCACTTATATGTATATCTATATATATCTGAATTTTTTTTCATCAACTTCTCATTTAACTTTCACTTCATTTTTGCAGCTCAGTTTCTGGGGCTTCCACTAGTACCACCTTTTCTTCAAAGCCCGAACAGTAATCAAAGTATCCAAAACTTTGAAGCGGGTGTGAATTTTGCAGTAATAGGAGCCACGGGGCTCGATGCATCCTTTCTTGCAACAATGGACATTCATAGTCCAAGTACCAACAACTCTCTAAGAATTCAAATGGGGTGGTTCAAACAAATATTGCTGCCATCTTTATGCAACACATCTTTAGGTAATTATATCACTACGGAAAAAAGTAGTCATTTGCGGTAATTTTTTTCCGGGGGACACCAAATACCCTCGGAAAAAATACCATTTTCAAGAGCAAAACACCCTCCATCATCAATAATGCAACAATATGCTTACTATTTTCAACACCCAAAATGCCCTTGGATAAGGGTTCTCTCGCCATCGAAAATATCTAATTTCTGATGGGAAATATTTGTGCCACATTTGTTTGCAATGAAACTTG